TTCCCTGGGCTCGCGTTTCACACCTGCTGGACGGGTCTGAGCAGCTTCAGGTGGAACGGGTTAGGGTTAGGGTCAGAGCTCCGCCTCCAGGGCAGAGCGGAGCTCTGAGCTCGGTCTGTGGCATGGAGGAGCTTCTCTGATGACTCAGGCTGCCCCCTGCTGGACCGAGGGAGCAGATACCTGGACTAGTTCTTCTGGGTTTCTGAACCTGGACCAGTTATTCCCGAGTTTCTGAACCTGGACCAGTCCTGTCCAGGATTCTAAGCCTGGACCAGTTCCCCCCGGGTTTCTGAAGCTGGACCTGTTCTGTCCAGGATTCTTAACCTTAAAGATAATTATTTAATCCAAAAAATTCAGAGCCATTTGTTCTTTATCAACTTTATTGATCTAAGATTTCATTTACAGAGAAAAGTTGACATTTTTAGTTTTTAAATACACCAAAGATAGAGTTCAACTATGGAGTTAAAGGTAAAACTGAATCAAAAGTGCGTAACTTTAATATATGAATTCATCCCCAATTTACATGTGATTTTAAAACAAATGTGACAATTTCAATATCTTTTACCTTGAATAAGAAAAACAGCCTCAATAAGACATAATGAGAGTTAATCCAGTTATAATTAAATTAGAGGAACTTAAAGTTAAGACTTTGAAGTTAATTATTTTTTCAAATAAGTTCAGAGTAATTTGGTCTTGATCAACTTTGCTGATCTAATATTTCATCATTTACAGAAAAAAGTTGAAATAATGATTCGTTTTTTAAAAATACGACAAAAGATTCGGCTGAACTGTGGAGTTAAAGGTAAAACTAAATCAAATGTGAGTGAGATTTATAAAGGAATTCAACCTCAATTTACATGTGATTTTAAAACAAAAGTGACACCTTCAGTAGCAGTTGCCTTGAAAAAAAACCACAATGTAATTTAATCAAGTTAAAATCACAGTTTCAATTTCACACATGAAGAATAACTTTATACTCTGTGCTTATTAAACTCATAATAATCCCTAAAAAGAAACAAAAATAAAGAATCAAGAGATTAATCATGCTGTCCTATTAAAACAAAGCAGAAAATTAGAATAAAAACAGTTTAAGATTTATTTAATCCACCAAACATGCTGATTCTATGTTTGCATGTTTTTCCTTTTGTCTTTGAGATGAAAAACTTATTGAAAGTATAATTTCTGCAAATAATGAGAAAACAAATTGTAAAAGTGTCCTGATAAGTTCTTTGTAGGCCTGAAAAGAGAGTATAAAAGCTGGTGACTGACAGGAGCTGGACGGTGGAATATATCAGTAAACTGCAGCCTCTGGTGGACAAAAAATGTCTGCAAGTACAGACGGAAAACTTTGTTATGAAGGAGGCCAGATTAAACAAAACTCTGATCAATGTTAAGTTTGCTAAACAACTTAACTTTGTATCCTACAAACTACAGAACTCTGCTGAGGATTTAGCATAAAGAGAGAGTCCAGCATGGAGAGGCTGAGTGAACGTGGCCTGGACTCTGTGGAGGAGAGTCCTGGTTTCAGAGACGCTGTAGAAGGACAGAATACCTGCTCTGTGATCCAGGTACACTCCTACTCTGAAGAAAGGAGGAGCTGAGATGGAGGTTTCTATGCTGTTGGAGCAAAATTTAACACCGTCTTCTTCACAATATAATGACCAAGATTTGTCATTACATCCAAATACACATTCCTTCTCCCTTCCTGCTCTGCTGATATTCTTGTATGCGACTGCTACATAAACTCCTTTCCCTTTCCACTCGACCTCCCAGTAACAACGTCCAGTCAGACTCTCTTCGCTCAGGACCTGATGCCAGAAAGTGAATCTGTCTGGGTGGTCAGGATAAGACTGAAGTTTATCCGTACGGGTCACCTTCCTGTTCCCCTCTGACAGTAACAGCTGTGTGCTGACTGTGTTTGGATCCAGCGTGATGTCACATGAACATCTTAAGAAGTCAGCAGTGCTCTCTGGTTCTGGTGGCAGTAAAACATCCGGCTGAGCGGCTGCCAGTGAGACTTTAGTCCAGTCCTGTGTCAGGATGTGCTGCAGTTTGTCTGTGAGCTCTGACACAGCTGCTGTTGCATCCTCAAAGTATCTCAGAGGACGCACCCTGATGCTGGACGAGTGTGTGGACTCACTGAGTGCTGGCAGTGAGGTGCAGCTGGTCAGAAACTGGATGTGGTCCTCTGTGTGTGAGAGCCGCTGCAGCTCATCGTCTTTCCTCTGCAGCTCAGTGATCTCCTGCTCCAGCTTCTGCTGAAGCTCTTTGACTCCCCTCACTACAGTTTGCTGCTGGGATCTGACCTGCTGCTCTACATCAGAGCTTATGTTCTGGATGAGACAGATCAGCTCAATGAACATCTCCTCACTGTCCTCCACTGTTTTGTCAGCAGACTGATCGATGGCCTCCACCTCCTGCTGGAGCAGCTTCACATCTTGCTGTGCGTCCTGGATTCTCTGCTGAATTTGTTGCCGCCTCCCCTCCAGCTTTCTCTGCCTCTCAGTCCTTTCTGCTGCCGCTGACACTGTGTGGTGGCCTTTGTGCTTCTCCACAGAGCAGAGATAACAGATGGACTTCTGATCAGTGCGGCAGAACAGCTTCTTCACCTCATCATGGACAGAGCAGATGTTCTCCTGGAGCTTCTCGGAGGGCTCCACCAGCTTGTGCTTCTTTAGTGGAGGTGATTCATAATGAGGCTGAAGGTGTTCTTCACAGTAAGAGGCTACACAGACCAAACAGGACTTGATGGCTCTCAGTTTTCTCCCAGAGCAGACATCACAAGCCACATCTTCAGGTCCAGCATAGCAGTGATCAGCAGGAGCAGCTTGGAGTCCAGTCTTCTTCAGCTGCTCCGCTAAAGCTGCTAACATGGTGTTTCTTACCAGGACAGGCCTCGGTGTGAAGCTTTCCCTGCATTGAGGGCAGGTGTGAACTCCCTTCTGATCCTGTCCATCAAAGTGGCCTTTAATACAGCTCATGCAGTAGCTGTGTCCACAGGGAATTGTCACCGGATCCTTCAGAACCTCCAGACAGATGGAGCAGGAGAAGGTTTCTGTGTCCAGCTGAATTCCTTTCTGAGCCATTTCTGCTCTTGGTAACAGCGACTGTGTGAGTGTGTCTTCCTCAAAGCTGTCTGAATGCAGTGAATGCAGTCTATCAGGTCACTAATGAGTGATAACACGATGTGACGTCAGGTTCAGTGGACCAATCAGGTGTTTCTGAATTGAGTGTTTGTTACATGCTCCTTCAAGCAGCAAAGGTAAAGGGGAGGGATCAAAGAAATATGTGGGCAGACTGGATCTACTGTGTTTCAGAGCAGGAGGTAGATGAGGATCATCAGACATTCCAGGAAGGGGAGAGGTTTAACTGCATTTATAAATTTTTTACTGAATTTGAGTTTCTACCCAGTAGTCAATGGGCGAGAGGCAGCGTCACCCTGGACGGTCCGCAGGCCATCGCAGGGCCACATAGTGACACACAAGAACAAACAACCATGCACACTCACTCCCAAGAAGTGACATGCAGGATTTTGGACGGTGGGAGGAAGCCGAAGAACCCACAGACACATGGAGAACACGCAAAATCCACACAGAAAGGTCCTGGATCTCCTTGGGACTAAAACTCAGAACCCTCTGGCTGGGAGGCGATGGTGCTAACCACCACACCACCATGCCACCCATGGAGTATTCCATCTATTCAATTTAATTACTTTAATTAGTTCAATATTTTAAATGAATGTGTTCAGTATGATTTCCCTTTTAGCTTCACCCTTCAGTCCAGATGCAAAATTCACTTGGCCCACTAGATTTTCCTGCTGCGCCAATTTCTCCTCTTCACAGTAATGGCTGAATAGCTTCTGTTTCTCTGAAAAGAAACAATGTCACCTTAACCAGGAAACAAGGGCTGTCAGCAGTGTCAGGTTACCGCTTGCTGATCACGCCCATCTGAAACATGAGAAAACAAGGCCATAAAACTGTAGAGCAATTAGAAGATGGATATGTTTTTTTCATACCATTAACTGGGGGGGGCAGTGCCATAGGCTGGCCCCACTTACTATTATTGCAAATAATCATCAACATCCGTCCAGCAATCATTTGTAATTAACTAACTCCCACTGTGTGTCTTCCATAGGAAATGAATGGGAAGGCTGAAATCTGGGCTGAAAACTTGGGCAGCGTCCGGGCCAAATAGCTCGGCCCCAAAACATCACGGAAACATCATTCAAGTACTGAACGGGTCAGGAACGATGGGCCTATGACAAACAGTGGCCACACGGCTAGATCTTGCATCGTTTGGCCACAATCACTGTTGAAATTTCAGCAAAAATCAGAAAAATCCTCAAATGTGCCCTCCAGTCAAGTGACATAATCGTCCACTCTAGCTGGACAAGGGGCCTTTTCATTAAAAAAAAAAATCCTCCCTGGGCTGCCACCTTATCGTGGTGGAGGGGTTTGAGTGTCCCAGTGATCCTAGGAGCTATGTTGTCCGGGGCTTTAAGCCCCTGGTAGGGTCATCCAATGCAAACAGGTCCTAGGTGAGGGATCAGACGAAGTGCAGCCCAGAAGACCCCTTATGATGATCTCTACAAATGGATCCAGAGTACCCTCGCCTGGACGCGGGTCACCGGAGCCCCCCCCCTGGAGCCAGGCCCAGGTGCGGGGCACGATGGCGAGTGCCTGGTGGCCGGGCCTTTACCCATGGGGCCCGGCTGGGCCCAGCCCGAAGAGGAGACATGGGTCCCCCTTCCCATGGGCTCACCACCCGTGGGACGGGCCAAAGGGGTCGGGTGCGATGCGCCCTGGGCGGCGGCCGGAGTCGGGGACCTTGGTGGACCAATCTTCGGCTGCAGAAGCTGGCTCTAGGGACGTGGAACGTCACCTCTCTGGCGGGGAAGGAGCCTGAGCTGGTGTGCGAGGCGGAGAGATTCCGGCTGGACGTAGTCGGTCTCCCCTCGACACACAGCTCTGGCTCTGGAACCAGCCTTCTCGAGAGGGGTTGGACGCTCTGCTACTCTGGAGTGGAGGCTGACATTTTTTCGGGAATCCCACGGGTCACGGGATTCCCGCGGGATTCCTGCGGGATGGGAGTCATCTTCGCTATTAATCACGGGATTGGGACGGTACGGGATAAATGGTTAACGGGAGCAGACGGGAGCGGGAATCAACCAATAGCAAAGACGAAAAAAAAAAAAAAAAGTAAATCCACCATTTTGTAGTTTCCTTTTAATATCCCTACAATGTAACGCAATTAAAAAATAACTACATGACCCAGCCGTCCCAGAAGCCATCGGTGCTTTTTGTCACGGCTTACCGCCAGAATTCAAATAGCAGTGATGGAGGGAGCTAACAGCCGCGGAGACGTCGATGCAGCAAAAAATGATTTACAGCGGAAAGTAAGATGTAACGACATTTCTATTAAGTTCACAGAACTGGTCGGAAAGTCTGACATATTATTTAAGTTTAAAAGAGTGGAATGTGACGGTGTTAGCACGGTGTACGCTGCTTGTAAGACTTGTTTAGTGTTGGTCAAGTACGCGAGTGATTCGGGGACGAGCGGTCTGAAGAGGCACACTTGCAAGGCAGATTCAGGAAAGAATCAGCCAAGCATCGCTTCGTTCGTCAAGCGAAAATTGCCGTCGGGTGTCAAGTCTCGTCTGACCGACAAAATCGCTCGCATGTGCAGCCAAGATCTCAGACCCTTTGCTGTGGTAGAGGGGAAAGGCTTTGCTAATGTAGCACAGGAGCTGCTCGACGTTGGGGCCAAATATGGAAGCAACGTGCATGTGGAGGACATACTGCCACGTGCACGTACAGTTTCCCGTCACGTAGAAGGGGAGTATGAGAAAATCAAACTGCTGGTCATGGAGGAGCTCCGTCAGGTATGTCACTCTGCACTATATTTTTACATAAATTGTACCTCTCACGCAGTAGTCTGTGATCTATAGATTCTATAGAATCTTTTAAGATTTTTCTTAAAATTTTTAAACGCCATAATATCTCCATATTCTAAACTGGTAATCTTTTTTACATGTAAGATATTTTGTGGCCCATTAAAAATATAATTCCTCCTATCATGCAGACTAGAGACCATGCTGTAACCACAGACCTTTGGACAGAGGAAAGGACCAACACACACTACATCACTGTTACAGTGCATTACATCCCTGACTGGAAGATGATAAATCGGATTCTGGCCACAAGAGAGATGGAAGGTGTTAAATCCAGTGACCACATCAGAAGCACTGTGGAGGGAATCCTTCAGGTATCTCTCTCCGTGTGTCTGTCTGTCTATCAAATAAGATCATCTTTGTCCACAAGGCATATGTAATTAATATTGATAATTAATGATAAAATTCGGAAAAGTATGAGAACATAGTGCAATAGTAACAACAAAAAACATGTTTACATGAAAAAATATACAATAAGAGAAATATAGCAATAAATACAACAGTAGCCATGTGTGTCTGTTGGGTTTGGAGGTCTAGCCTTGTGGGGAGCCTTTTTTCCCAGC